CCACCTCCCTCCTCTGCCCGCTCTGCTCAGCGTAGCCGGTGGGTCGGTTTATTCTCTGCTACGGCCGAATGATTTGGTTTTGCTTTGTTTTATTATTTACTAGGGTGATCAAAGGAGCCACTCCTTGTGATCATAAAGAGAAGCCTTAAAATCTTATTGAAGAGCGCAAATATTTTGGGCTTTGACAGATGTGCTTTGAAAATAACACAGATGTGGAGTGTCACGTTTCACCGCTGCACGCAGCGTCTTTGTTTCAAACTGTAAATTTGGCCAGTTGTGCTGGGCACGTGCTTTCCCAAAACCTTGCCCCCTGCAACGCAAGAAAAAAAACAAGTTTCTGGGCTGTGTATTTTTTTTTTTTCCCACCTGAATTTACCCCCTTAGAGAGTTTGAAACGAAAATTATCTTAGCAGAGCGAGCACTCAGCCCTGCAAGGCTGCAAACCTATGCGTTATTTTTAACCTAATTACCTCGAATTAAACAAAAGCTTAAGAATTTTTTGCTTGAATTGAAGGCGAGGCTGAGCAGACTCTCTCTGCAGTGAAACTCCAGCAGAAGACACGCTTCTTCCAGCGCGCCGTGCAGAATAATGCCCGTGGCGCTGCGCTAACGAACGGCGCTTGGTTTTCTGAAGCGCTGGCTTTTATGAGTTGATGCGAGAGGATCTGCAGCCTTAGAGGAGTTCACTCCTCTCCCGCTCTCACCCCTCCTACGGATGCGGTGATCGCTGTGGACTGGTGACATTTTAGATGGAGCTTGGGCTCCTTACACTTGCCTGGCAGTGGCTCATTAACTGCACGTTAATTGAAACTGAAAGTTTGTCAGATGATTCAATTCAGTTCCACGTTAAATGGATTCAGCGCGGTAAGCGTTACTGCTGTGGTGAGAATCTCTGTGGAATTGATTTGTGAACTGCTTTGGAGGGATTCAACGGCTTCATCAGCAGCCCTGAGAGAGCGACAGCGGGAGAGCGGGCAGAGCCACGCTCCCAGCAGATCCTACCCTTCTCTTTCACCCTAAACGGCTTTAATTACTGCCCAGTATGTTCCCTTTCCAGGACATGTGTTGGGTAGATAAATTTACTCTGGAGAGCTGAGAAACGAAGGAAGAAAATGAGAAGGATCGCAAGTCTGGTTTGAGTTCTGTAATCTAAATGGCTGAAAACGTTGAATTCCGTCTCTCTCAGTGGATCGAGCGGTCATAAAATTTTCCTAAAGTTTGTCTCAAACTGTAAACGGATGTTAAAAAAAAAAAAAGTATCTGCTTTAAAGTAATGGATGGAAAATTCAAAATTTACATCTTCCATAACTCATCTTTTATACTTGGCCACTGCAAAAGTCCCTCTTAAGCGAGCAATTTATTCGGTGTGCCGTACCTGCTGATACGCTTGGTTTCCGTGCGGAGCCGATTTTTATTGCTGAGTTATAAACCCTTTGAAAATAAGGGCTTGTAATGGAAGCGCTGACAGACCTTTAACTAGGTCAGTCTTCTCTGGCTCCGTTATCTTTGCTTTTGTTAAAGCATTAGGTGGTTGCGTATTTGTTTGTTTTTCTCACAGTCCCAGAATTTTAATAGGGATATATTATTGAGTTGTTCTTTCTTCAGAATGTCACAAACATGCAGCATTAGAGGGTTTATCCAGACTTTGCAGTCGTCTTTAGAAGTAAATTGTACTGTTGTGTCCTATTTCAGGATTTTCTTGCTTATACAGTGCATTTAGTCTGTAGCATGTCATTACGATACTACTAGAAAGTTTGCTTTTTTTCTCCTGCTACCTTACTCTAATCTTGAATTCTGCTCTGTCTTTCGGGCTGCTTTCTGCATAAAATAACAATGCTGGTTTTTTGTTTGTCCCGTTCAGACGAAAAGCCGTACCACCGCAGCTTTGCTGAAGAGGGAACCCCGATGGTAACGTCGCCGCTGGATGAACTCCCGAAGCTGGGAAGCCGCAACGCCAGAGAAAACGAGGCCAGGGAATCTAAAGCAGAGATTCCTGCCTTGGTGTCAGCACTGGAGAGTGTCATCAAGGAGCCCTTTTCGAAATACCAAGGTTCTGCAGACATGAAGGTGCCAGCCTTTCACCACAGCCAAGGGCTTCCTTGCTCCAGTCGCATCGCTGGCTTTGCTTCGGGTGCGGGCCAGGCATCTTCCAACGTGGTCACAGACTTGAAAACGTCACTTGAAGTGCAGGCTAGTCGTGCTAGAGAAAATTTGCTAGACTTGCCCAGGGAGCATCCCCTGAAAGAAAAAGGTGCTGAAGCTCAAGAGGTATCTCCACTCGATTTGAGTGATCAATCAACAAGGGATGGTTCATGCAATAAAGATCTGAACACATCCTTGCAGGCTGCTTTAATCGTCTACCCGTGTCCTTTCTGCAGTCACAAGACCTACTACCCTGAAGTCCTGTGGATGCACAAAAGAATTTTGCACAAAATCAGCTGTAACTCGATGGTCCCCCCTTGGGTTCAACAGAACGGATTCAAGAGTATTAAAACCAACCTGGTCTTTCTGGCGAGGAGCGGGCGCACCGGCCCCCCTCCTGTCCTCGGCGGTAAGGAGTGCCAGCCTTTGCCCGTGGCCAGATTTACGCGCACTCAAGTGCCGAGCGCGTTGCCGGGGTCCAAGAGCAGCTCCCTTTCTGCCGGCATGAATGCCAAGCCCGCCAGTACGCACCAGTCAAAGGACGGTCATGCCTTTGGCCACTGCGGTCCACGCTTATCAGGTCTGGATGGGTACAGACAGCCCAAGTTAAACCATTCCCAGGAGCCCTACAGCGTAGCAGCACAACAAAAAAGTAAATATGAAGCAAATTCCAAACTTATGCAAATGGGAGCCTACAGCAGAAGCGTAACGCCGACTCCAACGGTCATATCCAGGCCTAGCCCACAGCCCGCCAACAGTAAACCAGTGGAAAAGTACGTGGTTCCCCAGGGAAGTACTGGTTTTGCCCCTCCCGGTAAGCACTGTGCATCCGACTCCGTGAAGGCCAAATTCAACCCACCGCCGCAGTATCATCCTCTGTGTAAAAGCGAGCAGTACGCGAAACACGAAGAGCCACCGGTGCCTCAGCGGGAGTCTCACGGGAAGGCTGGGAGTGAGATGAGGACAGTGGGAAACTGCACGGCGGTGGCACGAGCGAGTCCCCTGCTGCAGCCCCAGCCGAGTGCCGCGGGAGTTTCTCCGGCTTTACACTCCAGCAAACAGGATCTGGGATCAGACGGGCCTGAGAAACGTTTGGACGTTTTAAATATCTTTAAAACATACATTCCAAAGGACCTTGCTTCGTTGTACCAAACCTGCGGTGCCAACAGCCCCGTCCTGGATCACGCAGGTAAGGTTTTTCACAAGCGCTTCCGTAGCTGAGGCCGTGGCTTGCTCGTTCCTGCTTCCCTCGGAGCCGCGACACGCTGTTTCACGGTTTCTTCCTTCCCTCCCTTTAACCGTTGGGATTACGAGTTCGCTGGTTTTAGCATTTCTGGATAGGCTTGAATAGCTTTGTTCACCGATCTCTAACGTTGCAGCATGCCCCCCCCTCGTGCACCGCGTGACATTTCTGTTGCAGGTGAAATGTATCTGGTTCCACCTGGAGTATTACCGCTCCTTTGTCCCCTCGCTTCAAGCAGGCTGAAGTTACACAGATGCGCTGTCGCAGGAAGATCCCCCTGATATGCTGGTGCTGGCACACGTCGTCATCTTTTTGCTTCGGGCAAAATAAACATTCTCTGGGGCTTTTCTGTGATGTTGTTTTGGAGGTTTTGTTCAATTTCGCCTGCGAAGAAGTCTTGGAACAACAGAGAGAGATAATCACTTGTCAGTGTCCTTTGTCTTTCTTGACAAAAGTCTTAAGATCTTCCTTGTCCATATCAAAGACTGCTATCGTTGTTTTTCAAATGATTCTTTTGATCTGTTTGTATGTTTATAATTACAAAGCGGTAGGGCTGAATACCTGCTAATTCACGTAGGCAGGGGAAGGCAGTTGTGCAAATAGCCAACTTAAAAGTTCAGGGACTGAAAAAGTGTCAGAGCGGCTCCTTCTGTCTGTTGCCAGTCACTTGCCACGTCAAAAGAAGAAAGAAAAAAGAAACCTATGTATTTGCATTTGAAACCCCACTCTTGTGATGGTGTGCCAGAATTAGGTTGTCTCAGTGGAA